CCAGACATAACAAAAATGCCTTATCAAATACAGTAAAGACATTTGTAAAGAAACTCAAGGAAAACAAATGGATGATATTGTAATAACAACTGAAATGATTAAAAGGCAAGTAAAGGCTGTGAAAAATTGGAGTGTACCTAGTCGAAATGCACTACATGGATTTTGGTTAAAGCATCTATCAAGTCTCCATCAATGTATAGAAGTGCAATTTAATCACTTACTTCAAAATTCTACAACGAAGACTGGATGACAACCAGCTGCACATTTTTTATAATAAAAGATCATCAAAAGGGCAATGAACCCAGTAATTATTGACCAATTACATGCCTTCCAACAATGTTCAAGCTCCTCACAGGAGTTTTTGCAAGATCAATATATAATTACTTAACTGAAAACTCCCTATATCCAACTGAACTGAACGGGAACTTTAAAAAGTCAAGAGGCATGAAAGATCAGTGGCTTATTGATAAAATGATACTGAAGAATGCAAAAAGATGAAAAATCTTAACATGGCCTAGATAGACTATAAAAATGCATTGGACTCATTGCCACACTGCTGGATTAACACCTGCCTAAAAATTTTGAGATTAGTAAAAACTTTCAGAAACTCCTCAAGAAAAACCAATGGGAAAATGTCTTACTAGCCCATTTTGAAAAAACTGGGGACATTAGCTTCAAAAGAGGAATATTTCTGGGGGATTCTTTGTCACCACTACTCTCACTAATCCCCATGTCAATAATTTTAAATAAAAGTGGATTAGGCTACCATATTTCACAACAAGCAGGAAAAATCAATCATCTGTTATACATGCATGTCCTGAAACTATATGCAAAAAGTTCCATGGAGATAGAATCACTGCTAAATACAGTGTATATGTTTAGTGAAGATATCCAAATGAAATTTGGAATTGACAAATGTGTAGCTCTATCTATACACTGTGGCAAGATCAAAAAACTAGATAGAATAGAGTTTAAAATGGCAATATTATAAAATTAAGTGACGAAAATTATAAATACTTGGGAATTCTAGAAGCAGATAACATTGTGCACACAGAAGTTAAAGAACTGACAGATAGGGAAGATATCAAAAGAATGCGGAAAATCTTAAAATCAAAATTAAATGTGGGAAATACAATCAAAGACATAAACACATGGGCAGTTCCAGTAATTAGATACCCAGTTGGAATAATAGATTGGACTCAAAACAAATTAGAAGAATTGGATCGAGAAACATGGAAACTAATGAACATGCATCACACACTACATCCAAAAAGTGATGTGGACAGATTATATTTATCATGAAAAATAGAGGCCGTGGATTACTGCAAATACAACAGTAAGACATAAACACATGGGCAGTTCCAGTAATTAGATACCCAGTTGGAATAATAGATTGGACTCAAAACAAATTAGAAGAATTGGATCGAGAAACATGGAAACTAATGAACATGCATCACACACTACATCCAAAAAGTGATGTGGACAGATTATATTTATCATGAAAAATAGAGGCCGTGGATTACTGCAAATACAACAGTTAGCAGAGGAGGAAAAAATAAGTCTAAATGATTATATCAGTACAAGAAGAAAAAAATTACTGAAAGGAGTGAAAATGGAGAACATTTTGAAAACAACAGAAACAAAGCTGCAATATAAGAAAAAACAATTTGAAAGGAAATTAAACAACTGGAAAAATAAACTACTACATGGAAAACACCTGAGAAATATTGATGGAAAGCACGATCATCATTCAACATGGGCATGGCTTAAACTGGGGGTCCTTAAGAAAGAAACCGAAGACTTGATCTGTGCTGCACCAGGACAAGCATTCCAAACCAACGTGAGGAAAGCTAAGATCCAAGGAATTAGTGCTAACAGCAAATGTCAGCTCTGCCAAGAAAAAGATGAAACTGTGTCCCACCTCATCAATGAATGTCCAAAGATTGCACAGATTATGAAGTTAGACATGATAGAGTGACAAAGTTAGTGCACTGGTCATTATGCAAAAAAAAAAAATCCTTGCCAATTTCCAAAAACCCGTGGCAACATCGGGTAGAGAAGGTGTCAGAAAATGAGGAAGTCAGGATCTTGTGGGATTTCTGGATCCAAAAGGATAGACACCTTGAACATAACACACCAGACATAGTAGTCATAGAACGATAAGTGTCCGGATCACTGACATTGCAATTCCAGGGAATGCCAGAGTTGAAAAAAAGAACTGGAAAAACAAACAGAGTACCTGGCAATCAAAACATCTCGCCTCTGGAAGAAACATACTTCAGTGGTCCCTATAGTCACTGGGACTTTATCAACAAATAAATATCAAGAAATTTCACACAATACTATAAGCAGTTGCAGATCTCAGAAATCATCAGAGCTACAAAAAAGGCATTATTAGGAACAGCATATCTACTTCCCTCATATTCAACAGATACTTAAGTTTTTGGTTAAAACTTGTATCTGTAATATAATACCAGTCAATTTTTTAAATAATGTTGACTGTGCCTGGTGTTTCTGAATAATAATAATAATAATAATAATAATAATAATAATAATAATAATAATAATAATAATAATAATAATAATAATAATAATAATAATAATAATAATAATAATAATAATAATAATAATAATAATAATAATAATAATAATAATAATAATAATAATAATAATAATAATAATAATAATAATAATAATAATAATAATAATAATAATAATAATAATAATAATAATAATAATAATAATAATAATAATAATAATAATAATAATAATAATAATAATAATAATAATAATCATCATCATCATCATCATCATCACCATCACCATCACCATCACCATCACCATCACCATCACCATCACCATAATTTATACTTCATAATATACACCGCATCTTTTGTCTCACATCTAAAGTCTCAAAAAGGCTACTGGCTTTCTTTTAAATTAAAGTTTGGAATTGAAGATAGCTCATAGTCTAAATGAGCATTGGGTGGCACCCCTAAAAGCCAGGTAAAACCCAGGTAGCCCAATAATACAGTAACTGCTGGTTTGCCTGTGACCACTTTTCACCACTGCAATAAACAGGATTAACAGGAAAAGGGAGAACAGACAGATTGAGGATCTGGTAAAGTTGGAAAGGCTGAACTCAGAAGCAGGAAGGCATCCAGCTGATAGGCTGAGCAAGATAATTGGATTATCAACCCTCTTGACTTTGTGATTTTTGCTGAGGCCTTTCTGCAGCTCTGCACATGACAGAAAAAACAAACATTTTGCACAATTACTCTGTGCAAACCCAGAGATGGGAAAATACTTTTTTAAAAAAATTACAACTCTAAGAATATTTCAGCCAGCATCACCCGTGGCATGGCCACTATCTGCTTAAGTCTGATGTATAAAATGACTACATGATATTGTATCATTGTATGCTTAGAACAACAATGTGCTGCTCCTCAGCAGCTATGGCTCTCCACAGGCTGTGCCTTTGCAGTGAACACGGGACGGAACAGACACATGTGCAGCTGCTTCACACAATACAGAACGATTGCCAAAACGAATGTTCAGAATTGAACATATTTGGGGTGGAAGGAAAAGGCCCAAATACCACTCTAAATCACACCTTTTTAAAGCTGTTCACCTTTGCTGCCTCTTTTGTGAGATAGTTTGGTGTTTTTCTTCTTCATTAGCATTTCTTTTTTCACACAATACAATCCAAACCTAACAGGAAACACAGGGTCTATCCAATTTGGCTAAAGAGTTGATGCCATTAAGGGCAAATGACACCCTCACCTCGCTCTCACTTTGTGTGGAAGACATCAGAAGGAGCACACCCCTGTTGTCAAGGCAACCTCTAGTACCTCTCACCACCATGAGAAGAATCAGGCCACCTACCAACTCTTTCACAGCGATAACTGTGAAGGAGCTCCAGTGACATTCTTCCAAGACTTCAAAAGGCAGCTGTCATTGTTGTTCAACTGAGATAGCCAGCTGTTGAAGCAGATACAATAACATCTCCTTCCCCAACACTGGGGGAACACCGGCATTTTTTTCTGCACTTTTTCTTAACATTCCATAAGGACAAATGGGGTGGGGTTGGGGGGCTGCTGTAGACAACCAGGCAGGTTCACAGGAAACCACTCCGCATCTAGCCCTAAACTACAGAATGGCCAGTGTACATTTGCTAGTTGTTCAGACTCATCTCTTGATTCTTCTTTTCCTCCTTTCTTTTTCATTTCTTCTACTGCTAACTAACATTTAGAGTTTAAATCTAACCCCCTCAGAACCCCCAGCCTGTTCATGTTTCTCTGCTGAGCACCACGAACTCTGAGAGTGACCCACAGAACAATCTGTAAAGCCTGTCCAGGATGAAGGCCAACACTCTCCATCCCAAAATGGGGCATGCTCCCCTTAGGGGCTCAAATGCAGCTCCTTTGACCCTCCAACATCCTAAATTTTTCAAAAAAAAAGTTCACTTGTGCCCTTTGGGGAGGGGAGAATTTTGCCCTGTTTTAGGCCTCCTTGGCACTTGGAGACAACCACACCTCTTTAAAAAAAAAAACTAGAAGGTGCATGTAATGTGGTTAAAAACAAAATCCCAGACAATATTTTGGGGAGAGGGGCACAAGAGTCAGTGTGGCTGTGCAAGGTAAGGTCCAGGACCTCTGGAAGCTTCATATCCTGGATCTCGCAAAAAGGTGTCACAATCTGCCCTCCCACTTCTTCCTATGCAGATTATTATTCTGAAGCTATGACTCCATTAATATTTCCTTCTCCAATATCCCTGCCACTCCATATAATATTATTATGCAGATAAATGAAATCTAATAAATTCTAGATGGTGAAGAGTCAGGTGTGTAGAAATCTGTACCTCACATTCTAATTGTAAAAACAGCCCACCCAAGGCAAAAAAACAACAACAAACCAACGTGCTTTTTTTTTAACAAAGGACAGCGGTAAGTCACACACTCCTTTCTGAAACACAGAACAACTGCAAACTCAGTGCTGACCTGTAGAAAGTGTTGTTTGTGGGTCCACTGGAAGGATTCTTATTGTTGCAATCTCTGCCCACCATAGGGAGGTAGCCGTGGGTACTGTAATAGCTCTCCGCTCCAAGGGCGATGATAGCAACGCCATCACGGACCTTTTGCCTCAGGGTCATTTTCCAGCTCTCGGTGACTACACTGATGAGGCCAATAGGGAAGGAGTTGGGGGGGACCTCCATATTCCCCACGGCCAGACTAGGTACAATCCAGATGTAACCAGGTCCAATCAAACCAGCCTGCTCTGCCATTTGGAAGAGATATTCAGCCTCCTCTTGCGAGCAGTACACAATCATCACCTGAGCATCTAACTGACGCAGCAATCTTTGGATTCTGGAGTTGCTCTCATCCTGGGTCATCTCAAAGGTCAAGACATCCTGGATCTCCCAGCCAAAATAACTGGCATCTGTGAAGGATCGGATCACATCCAGGAAGACATTGTACCCTGGATATAGGCTGGTGATAACTGCAAAAGAGCTCCAGTCATACTCTTCCAAGACTTTGAAGATCACCTGTATTTGCTGTTCAATTGAGACACCCAGCTGAAGAAAGGCAGAGCCAGGCTCCTAGAAAAGTGGGAGAGAATGAATTAGTGACTGCTTATGCATGAATAGTGTTGTTGTTGTTGTTCAAGTGAATTGTCTACAGCAGGGGTGTCAAATACAAGGCCCGCGGGCCAAATGCGGCCCGCCGGACCTCGTCTGATGGCCCGCGGAGCCGCCGCCAGCCTTCCAGCCTCCCCCTTTTTTTCCAATGAATTTACTCCGTGCCTACACGGAGTACAGTGGTGCCCCGCACAGCGAGGTTAATCCGTTCCAGATTAACCTTCGCTGTGGGAAACATCGCACTACGGAACACAAAAAGGCACTGGAATGCATTAAACAGCATTTAATGCATTCCAATGCCATAGAATACTCACCGTTGTGCGATGTTTCCCAGGGGCCGGCAGCCATTTTCGCGCCCTCCCCTCGCACAACGAGGGCGCCAAAATGGCTGCCATCAGCTGTCCAGTGGGTCCAAAATGGCCGCCGGAACAGCCGAAAGGGGCCGGGGCGCAGCGTTTTCACGCGCTCCCCTTACTTACCAAGGGCGCGAAAACGCTGTGCCCCGGCTTCTTTCGGCTGTTCCAGCGGCCATTTTGAAGCCGCGGAACAGCTGATTGTCGGGTCACAAAGTGAAGGTCGGTAAGACCTACAGATATAATCGGCCCTTTGATGGGGACCAAACTGCTGATGCGGCCCCCGATGAATTTGAGTTTGACACCCCTGGTCTACAGCTTTTCTCTTTGGACTACATAGTTACACAACTTTGGTTTTCATGCCCCTGTAAGAAAACAACTTAAAGACACTTTCCTGCTGCAGTTCAGGGGAGTGCTCCCTAGCGACTCAGGACCTGAGGCAAGTTTCTTTGTTTGCCTTTTCACCTATGCTGGCCCACCTGCTTGTCTTTGAAGACTTTCTCCATTTATAGTTACTGTTCCTTTTCTTTCCGAGCCTTTTACACTAAGCTTTGCTCCACGCAGTTACCTCTGCATGTTGCGTGCACACAGATGCATGATTACATACAAAGTAAATACTGGGTTCAAGTGCTCAATTACCCACCACAGAATGTTTGAAACATTCCATATTTCAAAGCACCGAGGACCACAAAAGAAACATGAACTCTCAAGTCTTCTTTTGACCACTGCTGTTTTTCAAGTACAATATTTTATATAGAAAAAAAAATCTCATAATAGAACAGTTTTCCTAGCCAAGATGACCAGGGAATTCATTCTTATTCTCAGCATATTATTCCAGTTATTAAATTCTACAGGCTTGAAACACAAATGAAAATATCTACTCAGAGAATTTACTTTGCTGTGTTCTCTGTTTCTACGTCTGCACCACTCCAATATCCATTTCATCTCTTCATTTTCCAGTCGGCTATTGAACAAGTCTTAATCATTCTTCACAAACCTTCTAATCATTTAGAAAATACAGTTAGTTTTGTTTGTCTTGTTATGGGGGGGAGGGAACTTATATAGAAGTTAAACAAGATTTTTTTCAAAGCACATATTTGCAATTTGTTAATAAATTTCTGAGAGATGCACAGCCATCCCAGATCACAATAAACCTCTGATGATCAAGATTCAGTGGAGAATAAATTTTATGGCAGAGGTGAATGGAGATCTAGCTTGGAATTTTAAATGGTGGCAGAAGACATAAGATTGTCATGTGAAAGAGCTGGGCATTCCTTCAGTAGAAGAAGAAGAATGGAGTGGGAAAGAGGATATGCGACTCCAGAGCAACTGCAGCAGCAAAGATTGTATGTAAATAAATAAAACAGATTGCTGTAATCAAACCTGAATCAGCCAAGATGTTGATTTACCTTGAAAAATAAGCAAATAAATGAAACCACTAATTTGAACTATTTAGGAAAAGCAGTAGCTCAGAAACATGGAAAAGTCTGACCAAGGGGCTGAGCAACTCCTTTATGAGGGAAGGCAAAAACATATGGGGATTTTTAACATGGGGGGGGGCAGTGGAGAAGCCCAACAGGCTACCTAACAGGGATATATTATACATGATACTAATGCATTGTTACTAGCCAGGCAAGGTAAGGTCTCCTTCTTCCACAAAAGAAGGAAGTAAATAATGTGTCTTATATTTTTATTCATTTTTATCTATCTATCTATCTATCTATCTATCTATCTATCTATCTATCTATCTATCTATCTATCTATCTATCTATCTATCTATCTATCTATCTATCTATCTATCTATCTATTTATTTATTTATTTATTTAACTTCTATTCCGCCCATCTGGCTGCCAGGCCACTTTGGGAAGTTTACATATCAAGCATGGACAATTCAAAACAATAAACATATTATTTATATAATCAAAATAAAGACAAGCAACCAACATATTATTTCAATAATAATTGAAATAAAATAAAAGCAGGGCAGCACGACTAATAATGTAAATGTTAAAACCAATCATTGTATTAAGGTGTCGTGAGGTTATATTTAAACCTTCTCATGAGAATCAGAACTAAACCAGCTAGTTATGTGCGTTAATCCCATTAGTGAAATGTTATTGACATGAACCAAACCAAACTGAAAAGAATTTCATTTGCAACTGAACTGGGCTGAGAACATCTCCATGCTTAATGAACTGCAGAAAATATGGTCTTAATTTTGATTTAGAGAAACAAGATGGCTTCAAACTGAGGTTTATGGAGCTGTCACAGTTCAATAAATGATATTTAAGACCAACCGTCTGAGGTTAAAGATTTAATGCTAAACTAATGGTAAGTCAAAAACAGGAATGAAAGGTTCTAATTTCCTGCTGTAAGACTGTGCCAGAGGAGAAGAAATGAAGGGAAGCGCCCATGGCTGAGACCCATTTACTCAACACTGCACCACAAATACAAGAGCAAGGAACAGTCTCACTAACAGCTACAGTGAAAGTGGCCTTTTTCAAAGCAACACCCAATTCTTCCCAGAGGTTCTTTAATAAAGCTCATGAATCTTGAGTTGGGCATGTACATCAAACTTTGGTGCACATGTCTCACTGCTGTTGTTATGACATTTTCTACCCTCTCCCAGGTAGAAATCGCCTTTTGTGCTCTAATGTAATCATAATTTGATATGTTCCAACCGTATGTTAAAATATAAAAATAAACCTATATTTCCACTAAAATACTTGAACTGAAAATAATTCTCCTTTCAAAAAAAGCAAATTTTCAAGTGTGGATCAAATTCACTTGCTCAGAAATACAAAATGTAGAGTGTTCTGTGCTGTCAAGTCTGAACTGTCTTAGAGTGACCCTAAGAGAGCTTTCAAGGCACGCGAAATATTTAAGGAGTGGTTTTATCAGTTCTACCCCTTCAATGAGTTCCCATGGCTGAGCTGGGATTCGAACCCTGTTCTCCAGAGTCCTAGTCCATCACTCTACATCGCACTGGGCATTATCTGAGCAATGCTTTAAATGAGAACTGCATCAGTAATTGTTTGGGGGAACAGGAGACCCATTGACTAAGAGGAAAACAGTGACTGCAAAATTTTGGACACCTGTTCTCATAGCTTGATTATGCCAGGGTGTCATTTTGAATCAATTGTTCCCTTTATATATATATTAAAAAAGCTTGAGAGCATCTCTTTGCATTGAGCGGAAGAGTTTCTCATTGTCTCCTTGAAAGAGAGAATAAAAGATACTCAGAAAGGTTTCCCCTCTGTATAATCCAAGCTGCATTTGTGACCTGCTGCTGACGCACATCGTTGGGTGGATTGGGAGGGTGAGGGGAAGTGGGAGGGAACACAGTACAGTCACTCCTGCTTGTTTCTGAAAGGAACGATCAAAGTGAACCTCTGCAGCTGCCCTGTTTCTCCCATTGGAACGTTATAGGTCAAACATACTGGACAGGGCAAAAGGCTGTAGTAGCTCTCCGTTCTCTCAGGCCCAGCTTGAGAGGTTTTGCTTCTCCTCCCCTTTATTTCTGACACATCCTGGCTCATGCCCGCATTCACCTTTCTCTTATGAACATGAGGTTCAGAGGAGGAGTTGGGCAAAAGGTGGCGCTGAAGCTATGGATACCTCTTGGGGGACTTTGCTACAGATTGGCAAAGATGTCTGGCTCCTAAATGCAATGACTAAACATCTTTGTATTTTTCTCTCAGGGATGGCTGACTGATTGAATAAAGGAAAAGCAAGAATGCTCCTTTTAAAAAAAAATCAGTAGACTGAAAACTTATTTCTAGTAAAGAACATTCCCAAGTTATGCATGTACTCAGAGGTGCTCTACACCCTTTTAATGAATGTCTGTTCCACTGAGCTGTTGTAGCTGGTCAACTTCAGAGATACCATTTTGGTAGTGTTTCTTTTTTAAAAAAAGTTCTACAAGCCTGATACCTGCCTATCTTGCTTAAAGCCCAATGTGGATTACCTGTGGAAAACACAAGGAAAGAAAGCCTACATTCATTTATGTATGTATGTATGTATGTATGTATGTATGTATGTATGTATGTATGTATGTATGTATGTATGTATGTATGTATGTATGTATGTATGTATGTATGTATGTATACATTCATTCATTCATTCATTCATTCATTCATTCATTCATTCACATGAATTCAAGTCACTAACGTGCTCTTAAAGCATATTCAATTCTTCAAAAAGCCTCTGGTTTATGAATGCAAGATGCTGTCCTTCTGAACGTATGATTTAAAAAAACCCCAGAAAACAGCCCAATATAGTGCCACAATATTCTGCCCATTTCCAGCAGGAAAAAAGATGCGAAGCTTTACATAGCAAAGAGTAACCTGAACATTGACAACAGCAATGGCAGTCGTCAAGATGGTCTACAGGATACCCTCTTGTGCTAACTGCCATTCATAAAGTGATACCATGCAAGGGAAAATCTCAGAAGCAGACTCCTTTTTTCATAAGTTAAAACCACTTCTAACCCAAACATGCCATTCATAAAGTGATACCATGCAAGGGAAAATCTCAGAAGTGGACTCCTTTTTTGATAAGTTAAAACCACTTCTAACCCAAACACAAAGAAATTGTCAGGGCTGTTT